GCACGCACACACTGAACTCATGAAAGACAAAGGTAGAGGAATCATATCGTTTAAATTTTGGCCCAGAGGGCGAGTTTGTCGATGAGCGCCACTTGTGGTGTGAGAGAACATGGCGGCCTGTCAGCGTGTTCGACACCCCCTCACTCACTGGAAGAAACCCCACTGGTTGTTCTCGAGAGAGCTGGAGAACGAGGGCACTCGGGCACTGCCAGGAACCTCTCCTAGTACACAATTATACTCTCTGCCTGTTTGTCTGGAGCTGGGAGGCTAGATGCTGGGCCAGATGCTGGGGCTAGCCTCACCCAAATTGACAGAGAGAATGGTCTGGTGTCCGGGATGAACATAGGCGGCTTCAGGTCGCCAGAATTTAAAACGGTACAGTATGTTAGGCTCACATTCAGACCCCCACGACGATTTTTGGCACTGTCCGCCAGTATACCTATGAAATTATTTTGAAAAAAAAAAATTAATTTTGCCTAAAAATACAAACCATTATTCACAGATTTCTGGAAATTAGCAATATTCCTATTTAAACCAAGGCAAATAGTCCTATAAAACACGTAAATAAAATGTGGAAATTCCCTTACCATAGAAAGCTGAAGACTAACCTACAAATTAGAAAGGGGAACTATTATGGAGAGGAAAGAGCAGCCAGCAGGAGGAGCCAGCAGGAGGAGCCAGAAGGAGGAGCCAGCAGGAGGAGCCAGCAGGAGGAGCCAGCAGGAGGAGCCAGCAGGAGGAGCCAGCAGGAGGAGCCAGAAGGAGGAGCCAGCAGGAGGAGCCAGCAGGAGGAGCCAGCAGGAGGAGCCAGCAGGAGGGGCTAGCAGGAGGAGCCAGCAGGAGGAGCCAGCAGGAGGAGCCAGCAGGAGGAGCCAGCAGGAGGGGCTAGCAGGAGGAGCCAGCAGGAGGAGCCAGCAGGAGGAGCCAGCAGGAGGAGCCAGCAGGAGGGGCTAGCAGGAGGAGCCAGCAGGAGGAGCCAGAAGGAGGAGCCAGCAGGAGGAGCCAGCAGGAGGAGCCAGCAGGAGGAGCCAGCAGGAGGAGCCAGAAGGAGGGGCCAGCAGGAGGAGCCAGCAGGAGGAGCCAGCAGGAGGAGCCAGAAGGAGGAGCCAGCAGGAGGAGCCAGCAGGAGGAGCCAGCAGGAGGAGCCAGCAGGAGGAGCCAGCAGGAGGGGCCAGCAGGAGGAGCCAGCAGGAGGAACCAGCAGGAGGAGCCAGCAGCAGGAGCCAGCAGGAGGAGCCAGCAGGAGGGGCCAGCAGGAGGAGCCAGCAGGAGGAGCCAGCAGGAGGAGCCAGTAGGAGGAGAATGTCTTGAGAGAGCAGGTTGAGAGGGGTCACGTCACGTGAACTGAAGATACCACCAACACGGAAACATAAGTTTCCTTGTTTTGTTTCCGTATTATTTTCCGATTTTCGTTGTTGTTGTTGATTTGTTTTAGCTTAAGGATGAAAAATAGGTTTGAAATGGAGTGAAATTCTATCTGAAAGTTTCTCACTAAACAAATCAGGTCAAATATGGAGCTGAGTTTAATATTTTGTTATTAGACTTGTTATTTGTTTAATATTTTATTAATTAACTGTTGAGAGACTTATCTCTATGTAGAGCTCCCTAATGAGGAAAGGGGTCTGCATAGGCTGAGGCGCGCGTCTGGGGTTAGTCAGGACCCTGATTCGATTCCCTGTCCTGCTCCAAATATGTTCGTCTAGATATACCCCTTTTCATTCACTTGGGCCATTGGAGCTTCGATACGGGACCACAAAAGCGGTAAGGATGTTCTAGTATTATGATGACCTCGTTCTGTTGGCACCAACTACCATGGCAAAATTTATTGAGATATGAGGTGCCGAATAGAACCTAACGCTCAATCCTGGCAAATGTTTTGCAATTTATTTGAACTCACTGGACTCGTGTGGACATCTTGATACTTGATCCAAAGTTATTTAATAATCAACGTCTCAGCTGACATGTCTGCGAACTATTAAACCTACGGAATGCAGACCTTGGTGAAGTGAAATTTAAGTCGCTTCATGGGATCAGGTCTGTGGACCAGTCCTCAGGCCAGGGTTGAAAAAGCTTCGGCCGTACAACTAGACGCATTGATCAGTTTCAACGTGTCTTGTATAAAAAACAGCCCGTCCTAATAAACAAAGGCTAAAGTACATTCCATGCACCCGCCATACCCCCGTTTTATGACTGAAAAACGGTTTACACACGACTCACAACAGTCGCGTGTAAACCGTTTTTTTTTCATTCCAGCTTGTCCTTTAAACAAAGACCCAAAAGTGATTCCATGCACCCGCAATACCCCCTGTTTATGAATAAAAAACAGTTTACATACAACCTGTCCTGGACTCAAGTCCATTACATCGAGCGGTCGACCCCTCAGATGCATTCATAAATTTTTACATGCTGTTCATTCAAAACGGAAATTTTCTCAAATATAAATTAATATCATAATATATTAGCAATTTGTGCATATATAGGCATAGGTTAGGTTAAGTGTTTAGGTTCTGTTGGGGATTATTTGTATTTGTAGGACGTGGGTGAAGCATTTACAGCGTAGTGCTTCGAAAAAAATTCATCAGTGAAGCACTTGTCCCGGATGTGTTCAAACGAAATCAATTGTGAATCGTGTGTAAACCTTTTTTTTATTCATAAACAGCGGGTTTGTCGGGTGCATGGAATCACCTTTGGGTTTTTGTTTTGGAGGACGGGCTGGCAGCCCGTCCTCCAAACATCTCGGCAACATGAAATTTCAAGCTAAACTCTCTAATATGCTGCACTCGCCTGAGGTCTATAGAAGGAAAGGGAAATTCGATTATGCATTTTGGTTCTACAAGATAGCTAACTCTATCAAAATATTAAACATATACCCAAGACAATTAATTAATAATCAACCAAATAATCCATGGGATAACTGGGATTTATCTGTTGATGTAAATGCACCCAAAAATGATAGTGCACACTCTACATTAATAAAACAGTTAACACTGTCGTCTATGAAGCTTCATAGTGTGGCAGTGATTCTCTGTGGAAGCCCTAGTTTTGATATCTTGCATTTTAGGCCTGTGTGCCAGACTTTCTCAAAATCTTTGGGTACATCTTTCAGCTCTAAATTATATATTGCTCTATTTACCAATATTAAGATTTTGTTGAATGTGAAGGTTTCTGTACTGAGCTTGTTGATAACGTCTGTATTATTGGTAACGGGTCGCTTGTGTTTAATGGACCTCTTCCGATACGGGTGCTTAGAAGGTTATCTTGTTACGATTTCGGGGCTTAGCGTTCCTGCGGCCCGGTCCTCGACGAAGCCTCCTTGTTGCTGGACTGGTTAACGAAGGTGGTGATTGATTGTCAATATTCTGCCTGGTTTGCCGCTCTGTTGACCAGGTAAGTTTTGTAGTTGTAAAAAATACTCTTTGAGATGGTGGGATGATTGCAAATTGTATTCTGGTGTATTGTATATGCCCGTGAAGAATATTTGGGTGTAGCGGGTGGGAGAGGAAGTCGTCAGGAGGGGGCGGGGGAGAGGGGGTGTAAGGGTCACACACTTCTCATCAGTTGGATAGATGTGTGGGGGGGGGGGTAGGCAGGGGCAGGAAGGTAATAATAATAATAATAATTTATTTAGGAAAAAGTACGTACATAGTTGTAGAGTTACAGTACAAACATTCTGTTTGATTTAAAGTACATAGAATACCTAAAGCTACTAGTACGTATAGTGTTTCGGGCAAATTGGCTAAGTGGGTAGGAGCAGCATAGAGGGCAGGGTGATAAGGGTGAAGGAACAGGACCATAAAGGGTAATGAGGTATGAATAAGCATTGAGGAAGAAAAGGTTGGGCCTGAGAATAGAGGTGAGAAGGCAGAGGTAATAAAGAGGGTAAAAGGAATCTTTATTTGCTAGACATATTTAAAAAAAAAAAAATACGCAAAAAATGCACCAAAGACAATACTTATCTGAACAAAATATGGAAAGAAAAATGCAGGAAGCCATGTAAATTGTCAACCACACGTCCCTGGAAATAAACATTCCATCCACCTTCCATATCACGACTACTCAATAGCAAGGACGACAGATCTTCGACCTCACACACGCGTGGGGTCCACGGTCCGAGTCTCCTAGAGCCCAGGTGAATGGTAGTGTAACGTACGATTATGTTACGTTGTTGGGAAGATTAGATACACAGTGCTTAGTGAGTTTCATATTTATTTAGTAGTCTTGATTACAGTAGTCGGTTGGTGACATTGTCGCATACGTTCAGACGAAGCTTGGAACAAAGCAGAGAGTTGAGTGAGGCCAAAGTCGCGGAGCTCTCTGTGGGAGAGCGTGGCGGCTGGATTGGAGAATCGTGAGTGTCTGAACTCACGGGGAGCGTGAGCATTGTAGCTTGATGCAGTCGTAGTGTGCAGTCTGCTCTGTGTTGAAGGTTGTAGTGTCTTAGGGTCAATTAGTACACGCCGAGTGCTACATTCTTGAGGTTGAAGAGGTGAGGTAAATCCAAAGTGTCTGTACTGGAGTTCTCTGAATCACTGGAAATTGTACTGTTGTCTATTCTCATATCACTTCCTTATATTTGGTGACTGCACCTCACCTTTCTCCACTAGGATAGAAGGATGGGAGAACTGTTAACTGTAATTAGGGAAGATATTATAGCTTCTGTAATTAGTGCTAATTAGTTACGCCATTAAGATGATGAGACAAAGGAGCGAGTATATGGTTTGCTTACTACAGTATGAAAAGAAGTCTAATAGGCAGCTGTTGCAGTGTTGTCATTATACGTAGTTGACTGTTATAATTCTGATTTATTAATGTTATTAGTAACTGAGTGAGCGTGGAGTTACCAGTGTGAGGCCTCGCCCGGAGGGCTGTTGTTGTCCGTCTTACGGAGGAGAGATGGACAACATCTCCCCGTTGAAGGAGATCCAAGGATATCCTTATCCTATATCCTTGTTGATGGCATCCTTAACTCAGATTTTTCCTTGTTGCATGCTATGTCTAAAAACGTTTTGTGGTGAGTGATGGAATGTGTAGGTGTGCGAGGGTGTATATAATCTCTTGTAACCTGCTCTCTCAAGACACTCTCCTCCTGCTGCTGCCGCTGGCTCCTCCTTGACACACTCCTTCCAGAGACATGGTGAGTCTTCAGACGCCTGTTGCTTGTACATGTTACATATGTTGCTTGAAGATGTTACATCTGTTGCTTGAAGATGTTACATCTGTTGCTTGAAGATGCTACATCTGTTGCTTGTAGCTGTTACACCTATTGCTTGAAGATGTTACATCTGTTGCTTGAAGATGTTACATCTGTTGCTTGTAGCTGTTACACCTAATGCTTGAAGATGTTACATCTGTTGCTTGAAGATGTTACATCTGTTACTTGTAGCTGTTACACCTACTGCTTGAAGATGTTACATCTGTTGCTTGAAGATGTTACATTTGTTGCTTGAAGATGTTACATCTGTTACTTGTAGCTGTTACACCTATTGCTTGAAGATGTTACATCTGTTGCTTGAAAATGTTACATCTGTTGCTTGAAGATGTTACATCTGTTGCTTGAAGATGTTACATCTGTTGCTTGAAGATGTTACATCTGTTACTTGTAGCTGTTACACCTACTGCTTGAAGATGTTACATCTGTTGCTTGAAGATGTTACATCTGTTGCTTGAAGATGTTACATCTGTTGCTTCAAGATGTTACATCTGTTGCTTGAAGATGTTACATTTGTTGCTTGTAGATGTTACATCTGTTGCTTGAAGATGTTACACCTGATGCTTGAAGATGTTACATCTGTTGCTTGAAGATGTTACACCTGATGCTTGAAGATGTTACATCTGTTGCTTGAAGATGTTACACCTGATGCTTGAAGATATTACACCTGTTTCTTGTTGACGCACAATTTATGTCTGATGACGTGACATCTGTTCCCTGAAGACTTAACACCTATTACTTGTGTAGGACTCTCACACTGCTGCTGGAAGGAAAATATGGAAAGGGTTGGGGGTGGGGGGGTATGAGGAATGTAAGAGCGGAACTCTCAGTGGTTTGGTGGAACAAGCCTATAAACCAAAGTCCTATATAGAGGTCTATCTCTATATAGGTAGAGTCTTCTCATTGCCGATCTCCAGTGCACCTTAAAGAGTCCTCACTGAAGTCCCCTTCTACTTCTCTCTCTCCCACCATAGGCCTCCTACACCTGGTGTCTGCTGCTGGCGGCGCTGCTGGTGGTGATGTTGGTGACCGTACCCGCAGCCGCAGCTCCGCAAGACTTCAGAGGCGGCTTCTTCCGGCGTGCCAACCCCTTCCTGCAGGGAGACGTCTGGGGCAGAATTTTACATGATAACAGCTTCGAGGTCGGTAATTTTGGATATGACAGCCCCGAGTGGTTCGAACTGGGGTACTCCGGCTAGACTAGGCCAGCTTCCAAAGGCCACTACAGGCCGCTACAGGTAGCTACAGGCCGCCACAAGAAGGAAACTAATAAATGCTACGGGTCTTACAATCAGACAATAATAAGATATCTGAAATGTTTGCCACCTTTTCATGCTGTGTTTTGGTGTTGTGCTTAATACATGAGGCTATTAAGGCCACAACCATGGCTTACTGACCACCCAGCAAGTATACTGTAGTCCTGAACATAGCCCAGGACTAAAGTAAACTCTCAAGTGTATATTCACCGAGAAGTGGTGTATACCTCTCAGTGTATGCTGTATGTCCCTTTTGAACTGATACAATGATCATTATATTTTTAATGTCTTCCTTCTCTATAATATATGTTTCTGCAATTTATTTATATTAAAATGTATTCGCTGTTCCATACTGTATTTACTATTTAATCCTGAGGTATCATAATTTCCAGTCATTCTGTAAATAAATTTTCTTCATAAATTTGATCTAAAGTTTATAGATATTAAATCATGGTCTGTCTGCATATCCAGCCGTCGTGACCCAAGAAAGATCATAAACTAAATCAGTGTTCCAGCTCTTGAGCCCTGCTTCTAGTGACGATTATTGTTATCTTTTTCATAAGCTGATGCGGCATTAAAGGTTATAGAACAGTATCCCACGACACGATTAACAGTCTCCGTGGTGTAGTGGTAAGACACTCGCCTGGCATTCCGCGAGCGCTATGTCATGGGTTCGTATCCTGGCCGGGGAGGATTTACTGCGCGCAATTCCTTAACTGTAGCCTCTGTTTAACGCAACAGTAAAATGTGTACTTGGATGAAAAAACGATTCTTCGCGGCAGGGGATCGTATTCCAGGGACCTGCCCGAAACGCTATGCGTACTAATGGCTGTACAAGAATGTAAAGAATGTAATGTAATGTAACTCGATGACCATATTCTGTGTAAATTAAAGACTCGGTTTTCAAACCATCAAGTTCAGGGGTAACTCTAGCAACCACAGGGGACCATCATAACCCACGAATATCAGGCTCTAAGACTGATCTCAGGATTATATAGGTAGGGCCGTGGTTGTGAGAATCATACATACATGCAAGTTATGGGGCCTTGCGGCTGAGTGGACTGTGCTCGGGGGTCACAGTTCGAATAGCCTGGGTTCAATTCCCGGCGGAGACAAATGGGCAGATTTTTTACCCTGGTGCACCTGTTTACCTAGCAGTAAATAGGTACCTGGGAGTTAGACATCTACTGCGGGCCGCTTCTTGGGGGATGTGTGTGTGTGTGTGTTTGTGTGCGTGTGTTAGAAAGAAATATATGTAGTAGACATAATAGAGGAACAATAGATTTGCTAGAAAGGCGGGGTCCAAGAGCTAAATAGCTCGATTCTTTAGACAAAAACAGTAAATAGGGAAATACATACAAATTATACGATCACAATTCAGAGACACATGGAGGTCTGTGTTGAACCAACACGTTCTTCGGCACAAAGCCTCAACACCAAGTCTCCTGGAGACACCCCCAGATCCAAGCACTGGCACCAGCTTGACCTGATTCTTACCAGACGTGCAAGCCTACCCAGCGTCAAGATTACGCGTAGTTACCAGAGTGCTGTCTGTGACACCGACCACTCCTTGGTATGTAGCAGGGTCAAGATGCAAACAAAAAAGATTCACCGTTCAAAAAGGAGGGCAGACTTCGCATGGACACCAGCATGACCCGCAATCAGGACAAGGTGGAAGATTTTGCACGTGTGGTCGAGGAAGCTCTTCCTGGTCCGGCCGGGGCCGATGCCCGCATAATCTGCACGAATTTTGGTCGAATGCGTCCTTCAGCTGCTGCAGATGTCTGACATCAAGTACCTGCATAAAAATCTGCAGCAGCTGATGGAAGCTGCTGACGTCTGCAGCAGCTGAAGGAGGCATTCGAGCAAAATTCGGTCTGGAGTGGCCTCTCCAGGGCGCAAAGCCAGGGTGAGTTGTTATGGGGGAGGAGCTGTTACCCAAGCAGCTGGTCCCCCCCCCCACTCTCCACGGCGCTGAAAGTCTCCAATTTAAAGGCAAAGAACTTGATTGACTTTGGACATCAGAACATATTTGCAAATAACAATAATAATAATGATAAGAATTATTCTTATTATTATTATTACTGTTTGCAAATATGTTCTGATGTTCAAATCCACTCAAGTTCTTTCTTTAAGACAACCTGTAATTTAGCTATTTTGTACCACATAATAGATTAGCTACCTTATGTTCAAGAACTTTTTGACCTTGAATGTCGTGTGCAGCTTGGATGACAAGCTGCGAGAATGACCGTCTAAGCTTTTACATTGACTGTCACGTCTTGTGTCATGACAAACACCGGGAACACGTCCAACACGTTAAGGGACTTGTGGGGCTATGGCCGGTGGAGTCACCCCTCAACACTGTTGCTTCAGAGGCTTGTCAACCTTCTGCTTGTGGAGGAATTCCTTTCCCCCTCCCTGAGAGCGATTTGCAGGCTCTGGGGGATCATACCTTCCCTGAGAGCACTTCCCGGACTCTGGGGGGGGGGGGGATTCATCCCGTCCCTAAGAGCTCTTCCAGGACTTTGAGAGATTTATCCCCTCCGTGAGAGCGCTTTTCCGGGCTCTTGAGTGCTCTCAGCACTGCGTGTTGAACTCACAGACATGAAGTGGCGTCACCTGCGTTTGTATAACGTTTAAAATCACTGTGGTCTTAAAGTCGGGGCTTGAATGAGTGGTGTTGCAGCATTTGTTTACCTCAGGGAGTTGTTCCCGTCTAGTCCCACGGTGATGCGTGTGCTGAGTGAGTCCGCACGCGGGGGTCATTGGGCTTTTACGGACTATACCTGCCCAAGGCGCTTCCTTGAGTCTGGGCACATGCGCACACACACACTGAATTCATGAAAAACAAAGGTAGAGGAATCATATCGTTTAAATTTTGGCCCAGAAGGCGAGGTTGTCGATGAGCGCCACTTGTGGTGTGAGAGAACATAGTGGCCTGACAGCGTGCTCGACACTCCCTCACTCACTGGAAGAAACCCCACTGGTTGTTCTGGAGAGAGCTGGAGAACGAGGGCACTCGGGAACTGCCAGGAACCCCTCCTAGTACACAATTATACTCTCTGCCTGTTTGTCTGGAGCTGGGAGGCTAGATGCTGGGGCTGACCCTCACCCAAATTAGCAGAGAGAATGGTCTGGGGTCCGGGATGAACATAGGCTGCTTCAGGTCGCCAGAATTTAAAACGGCACAGTGTGTTAGGCTCACATTCAGACCCCCACGACGATTTTTGGCAATGTCCGCCAGTATACCTATGAAATTATTTTGAAAAAAATTTAACTTTTGTTTAAAAAACTACACACCATTATTCACAGATTTCTGGAAATTAACAAAATTCCTATTTATACCAAGGGGGCTTCTGGTTGTCAGGTCAAAGTTGTTCAATGTCAACCAATATTATTTGACTAGTTGTATATGAAAAGTGCTGAACTTGTCCCAAGTTTCAGTACTGCAGCGAAAATAGAAAGGGAGATTTTTTTTTTTGTTTTCAACGTTTTTTTCACATTTTCAAGTCCACACTTCAGAACACATGTTTCAGATATAATTATTCTTTGACACTTTTCTGACACATTAGCATATAATAAAGGACCTTGACATATAGAATTTCCAAAACATTTTTAGTTGTCCTAATACAAATGTTCAAAGTTCCCATTTTTTTTTTTTGCAAATATGGCATGTTTATTGCTATTATAAAATCAATAAATGAACTTAGAGAAAATGTAAACTCCACAATGTAGAGACATGCCCTCCACATATACTGTGTAAGTTTCATGTAAATTGAATAAAAAATGAATCAGTTTTGTAAACGTTTGTGTCAATTGAAAAAACAAAACAAATGAATAAGTCTAAGGTTCTAAAAATCTGTGGCTGTGGTTGACATCAACCAATTTTCTCCAAAATTGGCATCCTTACAGATATGCTTACGTACAGTCAGGTGTGTAAGTTTGATGCAAATCGCCAGAAAAAAATGAAAAAAAAAATGAAAAAAAAAAAATTTTTTTCTTAAATTTTTTTTTCCAATTAAACTAATTATAATATTTGTTTAATATATGCTATTGTGATAGCAAAGAGTCATAGCTATGATTTCAGTTGACACTTTTGATTGATAATCGATTTTGACCATTTTGGCATAATTTTCACAATTACTTCAATATTTTTTTCTCCCTTCCTATTTATGCTACGATGCTGAAACTTGGACCAGATGAAACACTTTTCATATAGAACTTGTCAAAAAAGTTTGATTGAAATCGAACGTGTTTTCATTTTTGCATTTTTATAACCAGACGCCCCCTTAAACCAAGGCAAATAATCGTATAAAACACGTAAATATAATGTTGAAATTCCCTTACCATAGAAAGCTGAAGACTAACCTACAAATTAGAAAGGGGAAACTATTATGGATAGGAAGAAAGGAGCCAGCAGGAGAAGCCAGCAGGAGGAGCCAGCAGGAGGAGCCAGCAGGAGGGGCCAGCAGGAGGAGCCAGCAGGAGGAGCCAGCAGGAGGAGCCAGCAGGAGGAGCCAGCAGGAGGAGCCAGCAGGAGGAGCCAGCAGGAGGGGCCAGCAGGAGGAGCCAGCACGAGGAGCCAGCAGGAGGAGCCAGAAGGAGGAGCCAGAAGGAGGAGCCAGCAGGAGGAGCCAGCAGGAGGAGCCAGCAGGAGGAGCCAGCAGGAGGAGCCAGCAGGAGGAGCCAGCAGGAGGGGCCAGCAGGAGGAGCCAGCACGAGGAGCCAGCAGGAGGAGCCAGAAGGAGGAGCCAGAAGGAGGAGCCAGCAGGAGGAGCCAGCAGAGGAGCCAGCAGGAGGAGCCAGCAGGAGGAGCCAGCAGGAGGGGCCAGCAGGAGGAGCCAGCACGAGGAGCCAGCAGGAGGAGCCAGCAGGAGGAGCCAGCAGGAGGAGCCAGCAGGAGGGGCCAGCAGGAGGGGCCAGCGGGAGGAGCCAGCAGGAGGAGCCAGCACGAGGAGCCAGCAGAGGAGCCAGCAGGAGGA